AACAGGCCAAAATAGTTGATTCCCATTGATTTTTTCAATGTTTTCACTTCCCAGTTTTCCGACGCTCCACGACCGCCCACGAGGCCCCCAAGACCGCTCCCCAAGCCTCTGGAGCTCTGTTTTTGGGCCCCCCGACTGTGCAAAATCCTCGCCGGGGCCCCCCACCGCGCCCCGGCACCCCGCCGCCCCAAAAAAATCATTGATTCCCATTGGATTTTTCAATGTTTTTCGCTTCCCAGCTTTCCGACGCTCCACGACCGCCCAAGAGGCCCCGAAGACCGCTCCCCAAGCCTCTGGAGCTCTGTTTGTGGGCCCCCCGACTCTGCAAAAACCTCGCCGGGACCCCCCACCGCGCCCCGGCACCCCGCTGTCCCAACAGGCCCAAATCGTTGATTCCCATTGATTTTTTCAATGTTTTTCGCTTTCCAGCTTTCCGATGCTCCACGACCGCCCAAGAGGCCCCCAAGACCACTCCCCAAGCCTCTGGAACTTTGTTTTTGGGCCCCCCGGCTCTGCAAAAACCTCGCCGGGACCCCCCGCTACGCTCCGGCACCCCGCCGCCCGAACAGGCCAAAATCGCTGATTCCCATTGATTTTTTCAATGTTTTTCGCTTCCCAGCTTTCCGACGCTTCACGACCGCCCAAGAGGCCCCGAAGACCGCTCCCCAAGCCTCTGGAGCTTTGTTTTTGAGCCCCCCGACTCTGCAAAAACCTCGCCGGGACCCCCCGCCGCGCCCCGGCACCCCGCCGCCCCAACAGGCCAAAATCGTTGATTCCCATTGATGTTTTAAACTGTTTTTCCCTTTCCCGCTCTCCAACGCTCCACGACTGCCCAAGAGGCCCCCAAGACCGCTCCCCAAGCCTCTGGAGCTCTGTTTTTGGGTTCCCCCACTCCTCAAAAACCTCGCCGGGACCCCCCCAGAACGCCGATGCCGAGGACGCTTCAAGAAAGCCGGCATGTCGGGCATGCCTGTGCAATACTTGAAAATGAACGCGAAGGCCACGCCGAAATACCACGGTTCGAACTGATCCATCATGGTGTTCCCCGTGCAGACCCGCAAGCGATCCACCCGTTCGTCCTTCTCCAGCGCCTCCGTCAACAACCTCGCCTCTTCTCTCTGCTTCGTCGGCGCGACGTTGGGTTCCTTCTCGCGCGCGCCCGCGCGAGCGCGCTTCATTCGAGGACTTTCCCTCCCCGACTCGCACTCGCTGTCCCCCGAGCGCTCGCTGGCACCATCTTGCTCGCACTCTGGCGCTACCCTCTGTACAAAACTTCGCAGGGCTTCCGCGCGCTGGGCATTGATATCCCCGTCATCGAAGCTGCTCTTCTCCAGGACCACGGCGTTCCCTTTCGTGGCTTCCAGGATCTCCGCCGCCTCCTTCAACCCGTCCGGGCGCGGAACTGGGGTCGCTGCCTTCTGCGTCAGCATCTTGTCCAGCGCGTCGTCTAGAGGCATCGAGCGCATAATCTCGGGCGGCGCGTCATGCTCAGGCAGCTCCGCAGCCTTCTTTCTCACCTGCTCCATGCAGACGTGCTGATCCGCTCGGCGCCCACGCCTCTTCGCCCCCTCGATCAGCCGCGCGACCACTTCCCGACGGACCAGCGCCTGATGAATGAACTTCGCCATGCTTGCGGCCGTGTCGTCGTCGCCTCCGGACTTCAAAATCACCGACACTACGTCTGCCAGTTCGGCGCCTGTCCGCGGTGCGGACGGCGGCCTTGCCTTCGACGCCTCTTCCTCCAGGGCATTCATCTGCGCGAGAATGTCCGTCCACGGCATCGGGAACGACGTCGCGTTCCCCCGAGCAGCCATCCGACGCGCGTTGTTCCCCGCCTCCATGTCCAACGACCGTTCGTTCCGATGCCGCTTCTCCAGTGTGAAACACACCATCGATGTCACGCACACGGACGCACAAATCATCTCTAGCAAGGTAACTTTTCCAGCGAACAGCTCTTCCGGTGAGTAGAACGTCATCATGTCGTTCGCGAGAGCTGCAGGGGGCACGACCGCCGCTCCCCTCGGCCCAGCCATGCTCGTTCGGCATTCCTCGCACAGCGGCGCCTCGCAACGATCGCACACCTCAGCGCCTTCGTGCCAGGATTCCGTGCTGCAGCGTAGGTCTTCGGGGCAACAGATTACCTTCACGGGCCCATCGACCGACGCGATCGTTGCCTGCCAGTCTTCAAACTCCGTGATCCCGCAGATGCACGTCCCTTCCGACCTCCCGGTGCCGACCCACAAAACTGTCCACGGACAAGTGCTGTCTGACGAATGTGCCGGGCAGTCCGAAGATGCCATCCGAATTGGGCGACACTTTCTGCCAAGCAATTGGATTCCCCCGGCGCCCTTCCACGTGAGTGAATTTCCGCGCGCACATCATACATACAAGAGAACGCACTGACTCGTCCCCCAGCGCCTCTGCATATGCGCGGAGACATCGCCGGTCAATGGCCAGGTTGGCGAGAGGAGCTCCTTGACGCACCTTCCATGCCACGACCTCGTTGTATGCAGACAAATATCGCAACACTTCGCCATCTTCATCTTCGGCAGACACGCAAACCAGCGAGGTTGCGATCTCCTCCAGCTGCGCCCGATGCTCCTGCAGCAGGTGCGCGCAAAGACCTGCATCCGAATCCCCGTGCCATGGACAGGGCTCCCACCCACCCTGCATCCACCGTTTGGAAGCGCAGCGTTTCCGCGGCAATCCTACTGCTCCGACAGATCCCCAGACTCCGTCACCCAAGCAACACCCATTCGCCGAGACGGCGGGCAACGTGGGTGCATCCTTCAATTGCTCTGTCGCGACCCTTTCCAAATCTGCCCCCCTTTTCCGTCGAGGGTCGTCCGACGTTTTTGCAGCGCGGATCCGATACACGTGACCTGGGGCGTCTGCATGGCCCTCGCCGTCATCTTTCCGCGCAGCGCCGGTGCCCGACGTGGCGCGCGACGCCGCGGGCGTGCCGCCCGAGTCGGCGCGGCCGCCGGCACTCGGCAATGCGGACTCACGGGGCTTCGTCTGCCCCGTGGTCTGCGGCAGTTTCGCCCTCGCGTCGGCTTCGATGTTTTCTGTCTGCTTCACACCGCCCCCGCTCTCCTCCTGGGAGGCGGCGCTCGTCGTGCCAGGCGCGGCCGCCGGCGATTCCAGCCCCTCGATCTGCCATGCTGGTTTGTACGTCGCGCTCGCAATGTCCGCCCCCGTGTGATTGTATACTTCGAGAACGACTACCCCGCCTTCCGCGCGCTCCCCCTCCGCGCGCGGCCATGCACCGAGAGCGGGCCTTTCCCCCTCGAGCTCCGCTCGAGTAAACGAAACGGAAAAGCCTCGCCCGCGCGTTCCCAGGAGCCCGTCAAAGCGGGTATGCGCGCGCACGATGATCTCGTCGAGCAGCGCAACTCCCGCCGCCCGGTACCGCGCCAACGCGAATCTCAGGATCTCGCCTGCATGGACGCCGTGTCGGAGCTCATCCTCGTGCGACCCCAACGAGAACCATGCATCTCCGACGTTCCGCAGATGATCAATGCACGCGTCGCACGCGACACGGCGCCCCTCCTCCGACGCCAACGCCTGATTACACATTACACCATCCCCGACGGGCCACGAGCTGAAATATACAGTCCGCCAGGGACGCGCCAACCCCGTGCCCATGACCGCGCCCAACGCGAAGGCCTGAGCCGGCCATGTCTTCGGCTCGCTCCTCGTCGGTCGTCGCCTCGAATCTCAACGCCCCCATAAAAAAAAAACTCCATGAATTTCACCGTGCGGTCCTCCACTACACGGCGCCGATCCTCCACGCCGTGCGCGCGCAGCAGCTCTTCCCGCGCCACACTCCACCCTCGCCACTCGCGAACCCATTTCTCCTTCATGACCCGCAGCAATGGCGCCGTCTCCCCCCACGCTCTCCAAAGATGCGCGTGAAGTTCTCGAGGCACGAACTCCAACCCCGGAATCTCCCGCACTTCCGGCTCTTCACACGCACAGCGCAGGAGGCGCAATGCACGCCCATCAGCCTCTCGGATGACGCGCACCGGTGCCAGGAGATCACCCGGGAGGATATGCAGTGCCCGCTCGCGACCTGGCCTGGCGGCCACGCCCTCCATAATAGGTCTCTGTGCGTTCGCTTTCGCGGTGGAAGCCCTGCGCGGGGCCTCCGTCGCGCTCTCGCGGCCTTCCCTGCCCCTTCTCTGGCCGCCGTCAGCCCGGCCAACAGCCGTTCGCTGCCCCCCTCCATTTCCATCCCGGACGCCGCCGTGCACCGTCGCAGACAGACCGGTCCCACGTGCAGACGCCGCCGCCATCTCTTTGCGCGCGCTCACTCCTGCGTCGATCACGTCGGCAGCTCCTACATCAACACCGTCTCCTGCGCACCGACCGCCGCACCCTGCCGCATCGCTGCATCCCCTCCCGCTCCACGCAGCCATCAGCGCCTTCTTCCCAGTGCGAGTAGACGCCCCGCCAGTGCGCGAACTCCCGCCGCCGCGCCCGGGGCCCGCGGCTCTTTCCACTTCCACGCGCGGCGGAGACGGCGTCCCCCTTGGAGGTTCTGGCGCACCTTCGCCCGAGATTCGACCTCTGGGCACGCCCGCGCCGTCTTCCCCGGCGCCGCGCGCGGTGCTCGATGCCCCCATCCTCCGGGGCAGCGTCTCAGGGATGTCCTCCGCGCTGCCAGATTCACGAGGCACTCCTCTCTGGTGTGCGACGTCGTCCGCATTCGCGCGCAGCGCCGGTGGAACCGAACGCGGCGGCACACCTCCCGACAAGCATTCCAGACGCTCGTAATGCCCACGCACAGCACTTCTTCCAAGTCCAGCGTTAATGCTGATGAGAGTGATCTCCGCCGATGGGCCTGCAGGCAAGACATATTTGTGCAGCTGGAAAGCCGCGCGTCGAAGCCCGCGCTCCTCCCGAACCTCCCGCGCAATCGCCGCGTTCAGATTTGCGCACTCGCACGCTAACAACAGTTCTAAGTCACTCAAGTAATACCCAGCTGAACATAAGGCCTCCAAGTAACAGGGGTGCACAAGCGTCAAGAAGTCCTCGAAAGGCTCTCGCGCAAATACAGACTCCCCGGCGTCGACGGCGGGCGCGTGCAAGCGGGCGTCCTGCACCAACTCCAAAAAAAACACTCCAGCCTCGAATGCTCTGTCTACGTCCGCTCCCTGCAGATCCTCCACCGCGTGATTGACGTGCGTCAGAAAAGCGTCCAAGTTGTTCGTGCCGCAATACTCTACGATGCCACGGCGGTAATGCTGCCCGATATCTGTGTCCGTGCCAATGACGTCGATCTTGCAACGCCCGTCGTCGCCCCTACGCTCGTAGTCTCCCAGAATGCCCATGTGGGCCAGCAGCGGGCGCAAGAAAATATCTTTCATGTCATTCTCACATAAACCTCTCAGGGCACTTGCCACCTCACCACGTTTCTGCTCGAACACCGACAAGCAGGCTCTCTCTTGCTGCACTGCAAGCACGCAGGCATTCAAGACACGCTCCTCTCTCTCTATACTCTCCCAAAGCCTCCTTTCTTCTGCCAGCATGCCCAGATTCCGACTGTTCAACCCAACATCCTGTTCGGCCTGCGGTTTGATGACGTGTTTCCACGCCGAGTTCATCAGATCCTCCAGCGCTGGAGCGTCGCCGCAGTTTCGGCGCACTTCCTCTGCCGTCTGGCCTAGCGTCCGTCGCAAGAAACCTGTCGGATTCGCGTGCCGCAGCCCCTGATGGCTGGCCGTGCCGAACAGCGCATGAATGCCACAAGCGCCCCCCTGCCCGCTCGTGGTCATCTTTCCATACCGACGGTTGGCCAGTGCCCGCACTCTCTCGGAAAAACACGGCGCGTCACCCACGATGAGAGGGCGACCGTCGCGACGTCGACCAGCACTCGCATTTTCACTCGCGGTTGCTGCTGGCGGCCCCCCGACACCGCGACCACTGGCTGCCGCCCGCAGCCACGGGGCATGCCCTCGCGCCCCCTCCACGCCGCACAGGCTGTGCCATCCTCGAGCTACGCGCGCCACGTGGCCCTCCGCGAACCAAACGGCCGCGCCCGCACATCTCCCGCCCGCATCGCCCGGCGGCCATTTCACGAGCGGAGTCCTTTGCATGAAATGTCCCACACTTTCCGCTTCGTACACCCAGACGTACGCCTGTTGGCCACGCAACCATGACTCGGCGGCGATCATGTTTTGTCTCGCTGTAGGATCTCCCATGCTCTCCCCAGAGACCACGTGGTTCGCGCAACTTCGTGCAAAATATCTGGAAGCGCTCCTTCGCCACCGCCCGCGACGCATCTTAGCTATTGCAACTTGGAGACACTTATTCTCAGAGAATCCCAACGCGTCCACGTCCTCTGCCAACGCCCGGTGATCTGCACACAAAACGGGCAACGCGTACATGGCCCATGCGACGGCCACTCGCAGCATCCCATGGCCAACAGCCCCCACGCCCTCCCCGCTCGGACGGCTTTTTCGCCGGTGCCTTCCTGCTCTGCGATTCAAACCAATCCCCGGCGAGCGACGCGCGCGGGCTCTGCGGGCGCCCCCAACGCGACGCGCTTCGCGGCCCGACACAGACGCCGCAATGCGCAGGAGAGACGCCTGCGTCGCAAAACGCGATAGTCTGTCCTTTCTGTCGTTCAAGGGCCGAATCTGGGAAGACATTCGCGGACGCTCTGCAGTCCTATCTTTCAGATGACGCGCCTGGGGGAAAATTCGCGATAGCTTCCCCTTTTCATTGTAGAGAGGTCGTTCCTGGGCACAATTCCTCGGGAGACGTCGCCCCAGTGAACGCGCTTCGGGACCGAAAGGCGACAGCTTCCACCTTCTATTGCGCAAATGAGGAGTCTCGGAAAAAAATCGCGATGGCCCCCCCCTCCTTTCATCGTGAGGACGCGCCTGGGAAACAACTCGCGATGGTTTCCCCCCTCTATCGTTCGGAGAACGAGTCTGGGGAAAATTTCGCGGTAGCTTCCTCCTCCTATCGTCCGGAAGACGCGCCTTGAGACAAATCCGCGATAGCTTCCCCCTTCTACGGTCGGGGGACAGACAGCGGGATCTTCCAGAAAATGTCTCCTTGAAGATGTTCGCAGTGACGCGGCTTCCCCGCGACGCACCCCTCCCGGGGGGCCGGCTTGGACACCGGCGCTCCATGAAGCATTGGTACACGACCCACATGGGGACCCATGCCAATACACCCCTTTCGGGGGACCGGCTTATGGACGCCGGCGCTCCCTTCGAGATTATGGCTCGATCTCGGCGCGCCCTTTGGGATTCTGGCTCCCAGCCGGCCCTTTGGGATTACGGCCCCCAGTCGGCTTTTGCATTGCATGAGACCCCGCCCCCGGCTTCCGGGGAGGTGCGCGTTCGAGCCCACCCCACCGAAGGGCTTGAGCTTCGTCACGCGTACCCGCCCGTTCCACCGGCGATCGGCCTCCTTTCGCCGCCGCCCCGTCGGCCCTCCCGGGGAGGCCGCGCGGGGGGTGGCGCGCGCTAGCCACTCAAGGCTTGAGCCTGGCGGGCGAGCAGCGCCCTGCCTTCCTCTCCCGTGGCCTCCTGCTTCTGCTGCTCTTGCTCTTTCTACTCGCCCCATCCAATATCCTCCCCCTCCTGCTCCTCCTCATTTTTCTCCATCTCGCCTTCTTCCTCCTCGACCTCCTTCTCCTCCTCCTCGACGCGCCTACGAATCTCGAAAAAAAAAAACTGACAAACTGCTTTCAAGGCGCCCCCCGCGAAGCCCAGCAACTGCCCAAGTTGCCTTCGCAACGCTTACGTTATAACGACAGCGTCGCAAAACGACATGTTCTCAATGATTCCACATATTGGGCCGTAGCCAGGGTCCTCCTGCTGCTCTTCCTCCTGTTCCTCCTCCGTCTCCTTCTCGCCGTCATCATAGTATTATCAATCCTCATCACCCCCATCATCACCATCATTACCATCAACGCCATGATCATTATCCTCGTCGTCATCACCATCATCATCGTCATCGTCATCATCATCGTCATCATCATCATGAACGCCCTCCGCACCCCCTCCGCCTCCTCCTCGACCACCCCTCTTCCTCATAACCCCCCCCCCCCCCCCCAGCGCTTCACCAGGCGCGTTGGCAGGGCAGGCTCGACATTTCGCCTGAGACTTGCTCACGGAGTATGTTCGCGAAACTTGAAAGGTCCAACGCGTACACGAATGGAGAGCGGGTGAATGCCAACATCTGGCTCTCGCCTGAGCGCCGCGCGCGTTCGTTAAGATCTTGCAACGGCTCCACGGGTCGAGGGCGACACAATTTCGACACGGGGCTCCCACTTGAAAGGTGCCTCGAACGCGGAACCAACGCCTCTTTTTTCGGACCGCGGCTGCGCCAACGCGCAGGTGGGGGCGCCCAAAGAAGAGCCTGAGGAGGGACCTAAGGAGCCTGGAGCCTCTTCCGAAACCAACGTGGTCAATAGTCAAAGGCGTGGACTGTTTCTCGCCGAGAGCTTCTGAGCAGCGGCAGCATCATCTCGGTCCTCATCCGATTGGCAAAAGCTACGACCCGAGGACCCAGCTGGCGAGAACGACCATCGAACACGTCCAGCCAGTGCTAGGACATTCAAGAGCAGGCTTCGAGTCTAGATGCCCGCCGCAAGCGTGGAGGCGCGCCGTAATAGTAGCGAGGAGCAGAAAGGGGACGGGTGGAGAGGGCAGGGGGGGAAAGGGTTGGAGGCAGGAGCGAAGAGGAGAAACAAGCGAGGAGTGAAGGGCACGGGAGAAGGATCCGCGGATGACGAACGAGGAGCGAGGGGCGAAAAGAAACAGAGGAAGGGAAGGAGGTGAGGAGGGGAGGACGAGGAAAGCGAACGAGGAAGCAGGGAAAGGCGGAAGGAAGGCACTCACAAGGGGACCTGCATCGCGAGGAAGACGAAGAAGCTCCTCCTCCTCCTCCTCCTCCTCCTCCTCCTTCTCCTCCTCCTCCTCTTCCTCGTCCTCTCCCCCCTCTTTTCTCCTCCCTCGCCGTTCCTCCTCTTCCTCCACCACCTCCCCCTCCTCCTCCGCCTTCCCCCCTCCCCGGAAGCCTCGAGATAGAGAGCCACGTAAACGTAAAATCATTAGACGTCCGCAGACGGATTCTCCGCTGACGCCGAGACCCCCCCCCGCACCCCCACCCCGGCGCGCGGGCGCCACCCGCTGCGGGGAAGCAGGGAGAAGATCCGGGGCTGGCGGAGAAATGGCCCGTCGCCGTCCGAAAGCTTGTGCTTGCGCCGCCCTCTGGCTCTCCAGAGACAGGAGGCAACGGCGCGGGCACGCGCGCGCGCGCGCGCCGGAGCCCCCGCCCCCGTCCTGCGAAGGCATCGCTCCCAGCGCGCCCCGACCGCTACCGGAAGGCCAGCTGGCGGGCAGGGGCCCTGAGCCCACGCTGCCACTGCCGCCGTCTGCGCCGAAGGCATGAGGAGGGAGATGCGAGGCACGATCGCAACGGGGGAGGTCCACGTTTTCAGTCCACATTTCAGTCTCTGGGAACCGTTTCCCGGCCCTGGGATCTTCAAAAAACGTCTGAGGACGACAGATCGGCCCTGGGGAGTTCTCGTGACGCCTAAGGTCCCGCATCGCGAAAAAATGCGACGTCGAGGGGGAGGTTTTCTAGCGACGGCCTCCAGAGGCCTCCGGGGACTTCCCGCGACGCGCGGGGGCCTTCGGAGACCTCCAGGGCGGCATAGCTGGCCAACTGAGGAGAGAGAAGTGGGGAGAGGAGATGGTGGGGGAGGAGGAGGAGAAGAGGGAGGAGGAGACGGATGAGGAGGAGGAGGGAAGATGTAGGGAAGGATGTTTTCCTCGATGTCGATGCGGACGAAGACTCTCCGCAACAGTCGAAGTTCATATTTACGCTGAGGTACAAGTCCTCGAACCAAATGTTCGCATTCAGGGTTTCGAAGCCCTCCAGGGCGCTATTGCGCCCCCATTTGGAAGAAGCGCGCCTTTGTTTTTCCTCGTAGCTGCCCAAGACGACCCAAGATGGCCCCAAGACGGCCGAACAGGTCCCCAAGACGGCCCAAGAAGACTCCAAGACAGCGCCCACAGAGGCCCAAGAGGCCGACCAAACAATTACAAACTCAAGCTTTCCGCCCCCAGGAGCCGCAGGGAAACCCAAGAGTACCCCAGGAGGCCGCCAGAGACCCCCAAGAGGCCCCCGAGACGCCCCAAGTAACAACCAAGGAAACCTCCCAGAGGCTCCGAAACGGCCCCCAAGTTGCTTGAAAACTGCATTCAGCGGTCCCCCGAGAGGCGTACCGCGAGATCCCGATACACATACAAGAAATCTCTCACCCATAACCCATGAACCAGAGCCTTCTGTCCGTGTCCCCATCCTTCTCCCCCCCCTCCCCCTCCAACTCGGCCCGTGAAGAAGGGTTCCACGCGATCC